AGGCAAGCCCGCCGCCTAAAGACCTTTTGCCGCCGGTTCAGCCGCTTTTCAAACGCCGGGACAGCCGACCCCACGCCGCCGCGCCCCTCTTCCGCGTAGCAACCAGGCCCGCTGGCCCGGGCCGGGGAAGCTGGAGGACAAAGGGTGATAGAGAGCAGGGCCGGCGCAGATAGAACGGCCCTCGGCCCGCTGCACCTCCCGCCCTCTCACGTTCTGTTCCGGGAGCGGACTCGTTCATTACTGCACAGCGCCCCCTGCTCGCCGGATCGGGAAAGCCAGGGGGGGGGGGTGTACGGAGCGCGCCGCGCAGGCGCACTACCGCCTGCGGAGGAGGGCGGGGAGTATTGTATGCTCTCTTCCAAGACCTTCCATCGCCTGAGAAATACAGCGATGCTAAGTTTTCAAAACACGAGCTTTTCCCAGGCGTGGAGTGTAAATGTTACTGAAAAGTTAAATCACAGAAAACTGGTTCAATTCTAAACTCTGAAAGCCCTTCGCCGTCCTGGCGCTGACCTGCGAGGACGCGTCCTTCAGTACCGCGAGGTGAGGTGAGGTGAGGTCACTGCAGTCCCGGACTCCCCCAGATTTCTTGTAACCCAGAAATCCCCAGCGACATCGTCACGTTGCAGGAGCAGGGGTGGCTTCTCGGCGACTGTCACAGAGTGAGCCGCAAAGCCAAGACCGAAAGTTCAGGCGTCGAAATACCGTCAACTTATATTTTCGCTTTAAGGTCTCCTAAGGTTGTATTTTAGGGCAGATTAGAAATCTTTTGAAGATTATTTAGCTTAAGACCCAGAAAACCAGATCAGTTGGAGCGGTTATGGGTATTTTAAACGTTAAATTTTGTAATAGTTCTGCTTTGAAAACCAGTAATTCACAACCAGTGACGAGAGCATCAAAGCAAGTGAGTTGGGATAGCACGAGGTAGTGAACCCAAGTCCACTGTTTTTTGGTCTGAAAACCTAGAAGTTGTTTTGAAAACAACATAATCTCTCTGGCCCTTTTTATGTCCTTTGCCTTCTCCTTCCTCTTCCCCTTCCCCTCCTCCTCCTCCTCCTCCTCCTTGTTCTTTTTCTTCTTTTTTCTCCTCTGTGCTCAAAACAAGAGAAGAGGATGTGGAGATGGGACTGTAGTACTTTGTGTTCCTCATTGAACATTGTATTCTTTTGTGAAATATACCAAACAAACTTAAAAGATAGAAAAATATAATCAACCTCGGAGTACTCAGAACTCAGGTTCAACACTTACCAAGACCAATCATCTTCATCTGTTGCATTATTTTGAAGGAAATCCCTAACGTTACATTATCTCTTTTGATCTGTACCTCTAAAGGATAGAAACCTTTTTAAAACTCTTGAAATAATAATATTTAACCACTATTCTTTGATACTTGAAAAATTAACAATAATTTCTTAATTATTCAAACTTTTCCGGTTTCCTATGATTTTCTTTTTTTCCCTTGGTTTGTTCAAACCAGGACTAGAACCAACTCCAAATCACAATGCCTTTGGCTGGCATATATCATTTCTTTTTATTTGTAAGTACCCATTCTTACTTTTTCCTCCCTAAAATTCTTTATTGAAGAATCAGGTCCTGGATCTGATAGAGTTTAATGTACCCTACATTTCCTTGTTACAATACCAGTGCTGTCATTGAACATATCCTCTATTGAGAGATCTAACAAATATGTTCATATTGACAAAACCTAAAGATTAGGAAACAAATCAATAACAAGCAAAATAGAAAGTACTTTGGGGGCTGGGGATGTAGCTCAGTGGCATAAGCGCCTGCTTGGCAAGTGCACGGTCATGAGTTTGATCCCTGGTACCGCACAAAAAAAAAAAAAAGAAAAAAGCAAGTACTTAGCAATGACCTATAGGCTCAAGCAATGAGATTAAATGTCTCTGTTGGAAAGCGTTAACCCATGAGATTAGGGTTTTGAACCTACCTTTGCCATCGACATGCTGGGTTGCCTTAGACAAATCATTTCACCTCTTTAAGCCTCAGTTTTAGGTATCAAATAATAGCATACATGACTTCTTAGAGTTTAAGTGGAGTGCCATTTATTCATTATCTTTTTATATAACTATCACAGACCTGAGGTAGTGGCTGTAAAAGAACCAGGAGTTTGCTTTAAACTATCCATAAAGGTATATCCTAGATTATAAACCATTACTTCATGCCAGAGAATAATCTCAAGTCACTAAGATGAACTAAAATGGTAGAGGCCTTGTCTAGTATGTGTGAGGCCCTAGGTTTAATCCCCAGCATGGCAGGTGGGAAGGGAAAAGTGCAGGGCTTTTTAACATAGTAAAATTTTGACATAGTTCTGTCTTTCAGGATTTCTTTTCCAAATATTATTATTTCTAAAATCATTTTATCAACAAGAAACTAGAAGGTAGACTTTGGGAGGTGGGGGGTAGGAAAGGAAGAGAAGGGTAACTGGATTAAAAATGATCAAGATACATTACATTCATGTGTTTTCATGTACTAATTTCCCAAAACAAACCTAAGTATTCTGATTACTAATATACACTAATAAGTAAATAAAATCACATCAGAGCTATTGAAAAGTCATCAAGTTAGTTTGCATGGTGTTTTGTTAGAGACTGTACAAATTAATGATGTGAAATTTCCTATCTAGAAATGGAATTATAGTTCCATCACCATCTATATCTGTTGTCCTGAAATCTAATTTTCTCTCATATGCTATATTAAACAGCAGTAATTTCAGTTCTAGCATAAATGATCACATTTTAGCTTAAACTCATGAGGGAAAATTTTATTATACGTTTATGAAGTACAAATTACTGGTTCACAATAATAAGCAAACACTAATAACATATACAATATGCAAATAAGATGCTGGACAATGTGAGATTCATTACACTGTAAACATACAAGCATGCAAATTCAAACTGACAGGTACTGAATCCACTAGTCACCCTAATAGCTAACCATATTAGATAGCTTTCTATTTCTCTTTCTACCAAAAAATTCCAAAACAAAATAAAGCATTTTGGCTTAAGTCTTTATCTTCCCATAGCTGTTCCATGTTTTGGAAAACACTTTACTTTGATGTATTTCTCTGTTTTTTCTTTGCAACAACTTCTGTGGCCCACAACAGAAGAGATCATGGGCTATATCTTCTTCTACCTTTTCTCCTGTACATGCAGACTCACACATACACACATTTAGTGAAATATAAGTCATGCTCTAGGACTAATGAAACTAACATATTTACTGAATAATTGCCATTTTTCAAAGCATGGTGCCAGACCCGGACCTTCAGGTGCTTAAAAAATAGCCTCCATTTGAAAGAAGAAATGAGAATGAAAGTTGCAAGTAGTACTCATCGCATAGATGACTTAGTCCTTTCAATCCAGGACCTGATATAATTAAACCTGGCAATCCTTAATCCTTTAAGGAAGTACCACTCATCTATTGTAAGAGAGAATTGGAAAGTCATAACATACAGTATTTGGATTACTATCTTTGTGAACTGGCCAACGAATTTCTCTCTGAACCGCAGCTTTTCCATTTGTAAAATAATAGGCTTTGCTTCATACGGATTTTGTAAAGATTAAAATCCGTCACTTCTAGGAGGAGTGTAGGCCAGGAGGAAGTCTTTGAATGTGACAGCTGTTTTTATTATGAGTGAGGAGAGATCACTTACTGTGGTATTGTTTTGAAATTTGTTCTTTTTTTTATATTTCTCCAGAGGTGACTGGATTCTTTATATTCCCTCACATTGGCCTATATTTTTGCTCTACTGTGATATCCCTAAATCACTCCTCTGTCCCTGGCTTTTATGAAAGTCTGCAGTAGAACACTGCAGAGTGAAACACACCTGCAGGTCAAATAGGTGCAGGACATGACATAGGCTGGGCCAGGCTGAGTGAAAATAGAGCACCACAGCTGTCTACAGAGGCAGCCCTTCCCTGCTCCACCTAGTTATTGCTAGGCAGTAAAAGCCAGATTTTCTAAATTTTTATAAGAAGCTAGACTTATAATTCCTGTGTGAACTCATCTAATTTTTTTTTTAATTTTAAAAATAAAAGGAGGAAAACATTAACAGACAGACAACATTTTACAACATAGCAAAAGAACAGTACAGACAATACGGATCATCTAATTTTTAAATGCTGATAATGAATTTCAGTTTAAAAGAATAACAACACTGCATATATGCGAGTTACCTCAAGCCCCAATTCACTGCAGTGGTTATAATAGGTGTTTCTGAAGGGCTGAGAAAAGACAGTAGTAAGGAAAAGAGATAAGCCTGCCTAAAACTGGGAAGGAAAGGAACAAACCCTAGAGTGTGGTGGGGACTCACATTCCATTCCTTGGCAGACCTGTGGGGAGGGGCCAGAAGCAGGGTCCAGCCCTATGGAATATTTATGAAAGTGAGACTGGAAGCCCCAATTTATCATCCTTTGCACAGATTTGGACACTGCTAATTTTACACGAATCAACAAAATCACTAGATTTCAAGGGGCCCAGTTGGCTTGGCTATTAGAGTTATTGGTGACCAGCAAAGTAAAACCTGGCAAGGCCTCCCCCCAGTATTTGCTTTTTGTGATAACTCCAGCACTGTTCCAGAACACTTAGTATATGGCGGGGACAACAGTTTTGCTTTGAAAAGACTATGCCATTGGTAGGGTGACCATATGCTAGAAGCAGTGGGGCTTTTGCGTTTGTTTGGTTGGTTTTGAGAGGGTTTTTTTTGGAGTAGAAGATGGAACTAAAATGCCAGAATGAAAGATTCGCCATTGTCACATTGACACTGAGAAACACTGTGACATTGTGAGACTTTGATTCACCTATTGCATCATGTTTGCTGTGCATCCTTTTTTTCACTCTGAACAGCTTCCTTTTCACACACTGAAGCCAATAGTGGAGGAAGAAATAGTGCCAGCATGCTTAGGCATGTAGTGGAGAAATTCCACAGGCTTCTGGTGATGTTTTAGTACAGAGAAGTCTGAACCCACTGAATAATAACACAGAACCTTCTGTACTACCAAGATATATCCAACACAGGCCTCTAATGACTGCTAATATTACAAGTACATTGGAGAGGTACAAAACTTTGTTTTGACCAATTTTGCATGCTTATATCTGGTAATCTAAACAACTAATTTGAAGACAGCAATATGCAATGTAACAACCATTGTTGAATTCCTGTCATCTTGTTTAGTGACACTCTGTATCATTTCTAATTTTTGAAATTATCTTTATTCTCTTTAAAATAAAAAAAATGCCAAAATAATAAATGCTGGTAAGGATTTAGGGCAAAAAACTATTACTTCTCTGTGTGTTCCTCTATTTATGTGTTATAAACACATAAATAAGTGACAATGGGCAGTATTCTGTGTCTTCCTTGAATTCAAAGGAAGGTTCTAAATATACAGCCTGGGTACAAGGAAGAGGAAAGCCCTCCCCTGCCCCCCGCAGTGTCTCACCTGTAACCCGAGGTGATTAGCAAAGGCGCTTCCCAGCTGACACCATCTCACAGGGAAAGTGCTAAGTTACTGTTCCTTGACAGTTACAGAAACCACAAAGCTGTTCTTCCTGGGGCATGGCTTGTGCTTCTGCTGCCAACATAATACTTTGTATTTGCACAAGTGTGTACATTTCAAGCAGGTTCTAGCAAGCATTGACAGCTTAATAGGATGTTGAAGAGAAACTCAATCTGCTGCCGTGGTGTTGTTACTTGTGACCCTAGAAATGGCAACAAGATGCCATGTCCCCATAATTCTAAAAAGCATGCAAGGAAAAGGAAACTCAGATCTTTCTCCCAGGCTTGGTAAGAAGTAAGGACAGTTATTTTTCTATGCATAACCATCAGTCGGACTACCTCGTCGCTTTACATTCGCATGTGATGAGCCGAAGAGTGGTGAGTGATAAACTTGAGACCCTTTCTGTTTAGAAGACGTGCTTCTCCTCCTCATCTTAAACCAAATAAAAGGGAGTGGGTCTAGGGGCCCTTTCAGAGATGGATGGATTTTCTGACCTCAGATCACATGGACACTTATGTAGGAAGAAACAGAGGTGTGTGTGTGTGTGTGTGTGTGTGTGTGTGTGCGTGCATGTGTTTCAGAGAAAGAAAGAGAGATGTTGCATCTAGCACAACTCTCAATGGTCCTGGGGAAAAATGGCAAGGGAATTTAGAAAATAAGACAAAAGGTGAAAGCTGAGGTCAGGTGGAGCCGTCTTTCTGGATGGGAGAACAGAATGTGAATAACAGTAGGGGCATTTATTTATACTTTTCACAAAGTTAGTATCATGCACACTGGATTGCCTAGTGACTCATAAATGGAATTGTCTCAGGCAAGATGTTTTTCTCAGGACTAAAGTGGTTTCCAGCTTCAGCTGCTCCCGACAGAGAGACAGAAAACTGTTGATTTATTAGCAACCTGAATCCATTTTTTTCTTATGGTAAAATGTGTTCTATCCCTGTAGATTCAAAGAATGCAATGGCAGATCCCTTTGACTGAACCATCTTGGTGTGCAAGAAGACGTGTTACCAGGTGAAGAATCTGCAGCAGCCAAGTGCTGAAGAGTGAAAAGTACAAGATGGAAACTCATGTGGTCTCGGGAATAGTTTAGTAGGAGCCAGAAATGACAAAGTGAGGTGGGTCTCTCAGGGTGGAATATGTGGCTTTGGGAAGCCCTTCCCTAACTTCATATCAAAAATAACTTCTAAGAAGGAAGCTTTAGTTGGGAGCCATGCAGAGGCATCAGAGATGGCAGAATCTAAAATGGAGAAAGAGCAAGAAAAAAGACTATACAGGCATCTCTTAAGTCAAGGACATCGAATCTTCCTCTATATCTGCTCACAGCTCATTGGAGGAGAAGGCTACCACAGAGAAGAGGAAATGAAAACTGATTCCGTTCTCTCCCCAGTCCAAGTCCCTTAGGTGGAAACTCTGTTCGAATTAGGGAAATGCAAGATGATGTTTCAGATCAATATGAGTAGAATGTTAAATCAGATTAAATTGGACTGAACTGACATTTTAATAGCAGAAAATGATCAGAAACCTACGGAATCTGACCAAGCTATCATTAGGGATGGAAAAACGAGATACAGTGGAACATACTTGAAAGGGGTAATTGGAGAAAAATGGTAAACTTTTCATATTTGCACCTGATAAAAGTTGAGATTGTTGAATAAACCAGTTATATTACTGATCCTCTTTTGATTTTTTCAGCAACTGTGTGAAGACTGTGAGGCCTTACTACCTTGTAACACATGAGAAAAGCTGAAACTGGATAACTTGAACAATTTAGTACCAATGAGTGCTCAGGGCTTCTTAGTACTTGTTTTAAGCTACTCCAGTGATTCTCAAATTGGAGTTTATATAGGCCTTGAGAACATGCAGCTGGGCCAGGAAACTGGACTAGAGACAATAGCAATCAATGGTAGGAAATTAAAGCATGACTTTTACTTAAGACAAATGTGAAACTGTATGAATATGATAAACATTTGCATAGTTTATAAAATATGTTAACTTAGGGAAAAATTTGGACTACATTTTAGCCTTCACCCTACCTAAAGCCTGTCCATGTTAATCTTCTACTCTTAAGGGGTCATTTTGTCAGCCTTTGGGAAGCTCATCACTTATATTCTTAACCCAGATTCACACTGAAAGATATTTGGAGTAGTGAAAGGAAGGAAATATTATGTCTAAAGAAAAGTAATGTCCTAATTCCACATAATACTCCTTGTGGTTTGAGAACATTAAAGTTATTATCCTAATTATATGTTGAAATCATGATACGGTCAGTTTAGTGCATGAAATTCTTAAGGACGTTCACTTGGATATTATAGTTATTGCAGATGTATTAGGCTAGATGTTTGAGAGATCCTCTTATAATTTTGCTTGTGATCATAAAATATTGTAGTCTATAAATTTTTACAGATATAAACTGCTTATTCTATTATAAAAATTGTGAGTGTTCGAAATAAGAAGTGGCAAAAGCAGTGATAACTTGTTGGCTAGACTCTTTAATATTGACATTACTGGATTATCCTAATATTAGCCAGAAACATATCATACTTTAAAAATTGGTAAATATAAATTATAGTAAGTTATAAAATTTATTGATTTTGCTCATTACCGTATACCTAGGTCCTAGGGGTATCTTCAATAAATTTGTGGTGAAGACTTAGTAATTTATTGTCCAATAAATAAAAGACCTAACTTTATAAAATTGTTAGAATTACATCTGCAGCAGTGATGGATGGTGACAGAAATATATTTGTATGTGGTACTGAGGGTTCAAATCAGAGCCTTGCACATGCTAGGCAAATGTTCTAACAATTAATTCTTTCCCTAGTTCTTTGTTATTTTGTTTTTTGAGACAAAAATCTTCCTAAGTTACCCAGGCTGGCCTTGAACTTGTGTTCCTCTTGCCTCATTCTCTAGCTGGAATTGTAGCTGTGCACCACCACTTACAGCTACAAATGTAATTCTTATATGGGTAGAGAAATTCATAATTAGGTATAGGTCAAAAAAAGTCACTGTGAAATTGCATCGTTCAGACTGCACATGAGAAAATCACCAGTCATTCTTTGCTACACTGCAAAAAATCTATTTTACTTCAGAAACTCTTTTTTAATAATATGAAAAGAAGTCATTCGTTGGACTAGAAGAGAAGAGAAGGTTTCACAGTGATGCTTTGGGAAAGGCTTAAAGGTTAAAATGACTCCAAACAGGTGACTTTTCAGTGTTGTTGGGAAAGAGAGCAAGTACAGTATGTTAACTGTGTAAAACCCTGTATCTCTTATAGAAGTATGAAGAGAGAGGGAAAGTGAAGAAAAGAGGGAAAGGAAAGATGCAGTACTAAGCCCCTGTGTTAGAAGAAGCCTGACGAACCAAAAGGATTACTTCATTAGGAAGTAAGAGGTGAACTTGAAGAAAAGAAGCAAGAAGGCAGAAAAGCAAACAAGCTGGAAGGAAGGGAGAGAGGGAGGGAGGCTGGGACAAGGGAAGAGAGAAGGAAGGAACATAGGCCTAGACTTCTGCAAAACTCAAACCAATTCCCATGAATACAATGACACATTTTGTAAAGGTGTTTCAGAGCCATGTATTTTGTCAGTCATTCCAATGCTTTTTATTTACATAACATTTTGACTAAATAAAGATACGGACTGTAGAAGTTTGCCGCCATCCATGCAGCATTTATTAACACACTGGTTTCTGTTCTTTCTCTCAAGGAATATGAACATATCAGAATGATGTTTATTCAACTGGGCCACATTAAAAAGATATTTGATTACTTTTTGTTATCTTCCTGTTGAAAATTTTAACACTGTTTAGAGACAGTGCATCCCAAATCCTTTTTGAAATTAACGTGTGATCATGTTGCTAGCATAAGTGCCAATGAAAAACAGTTGATTAAGTTCTATGAGAAGGGGATCTTGTTTGTTTTACTCTCTTATCCCCAGAGCCTACAATCGTGTTTGACATATATTTGTTGAATGAATAGAAAAACAGTAATGAATTTCCGCCTGTAAACGGACTCAAAATCTAATCTGACATGACATATTTGAGTACTATCTTCTACTGTGAATTTATCCAAATAGTAAACAGTTTTTGAAAGTTATCTCTTGAAAATAAATGTTATAATATTATTTTGTTATATTTAGATAATAGCTTTCTTCTTTTGTCAAATTTCCAGTCTTCAATTTTTCAATGTAGAAATCGGAAGTTTTCAAGGACTTTCTTCTGTCTCTTAACTGAGCCATTATAGAACCATGAGGCACCATAAGATTGCCAAGAGTTTCTTTGAATTTCAAACACCGAAATCCACATAGCTGTCTATCTTGAAAAGTTTACCTTTGAATTTACACAGAGGAATTTAAAAAAAATTATCATATATCTGTTTAAAGTAGTTTTACTGATGTCTTTTTTTTTTTTTTTTAATTAAAGTAACTTGTAATTTTTAGGAAAGCTGAGCAGACTTTCCAGGGCTTGAGTTTACTTCCATTTAAAAAGTATTAAGTGATATAACAAATACCTCACAATGTACCTAATTATAATCCCATCCAAATCTAGCACTTCTAAGAGTAAAGTTTAGGGAGCACTCATTTTACACAGGTACTCAGGTTTCTTTTCTTGTCCTTTCCCTTAAAGTGTTTTTGCCTAGATCAATTATCTTTCTTCTCCCCCAACTTGGTTCTCATGAATATGGTTCCCCCGTGTTATCGTTTTGAGATGGAAGGGTGGAACTTTATAGCAGTTTGTTGTATTCATTAACTTCAAATCCATTTAAATCAAGCATACTTCAATCTGATACCAGTAATGAGACAAAATTATTCAGTACAGTTTTCCTCCCCCACCTACTCCTTAAATAAACGATGGCCATTTTGAATGATAATAGCATATCTAAATATGTCATGTATTTCAGTCAAAATGTCACTCATTCGGCTATTTTGTTTATAAGCTCTTCCCCCCAAAGAAAGTCATGAAATGTTTTAAATTTTTGGAAGTAGACCACACAAATCAGCTCATAGTATTCATTTAAACCTTATCAGTTACCACTTTTCCATTCTAGAATCTCAAATGTGAACCTCTACACACACAAAAAAGAATAATTTAATGCAGTTTCCCTTAAGAGCTTTCTTTGTTGATATGGCTATTTCTTTTTCTTGTGTCAACAAAATAGAAATCAATTTAAATCTAGATGATCAATATTCAGCTAGCTACAATACTTTATTTTCTCTATAGCCACATGCTATTATAATATGTAAGAATATATGAGCCTAGCAAATTAAATATAAGTAAATAATGTAAGATGGATGGCAAAGTGCCTACAGATCTGCAGTCTGCAGAATAAATACTGCTGAGTGCTGGGAAGAAAGTGGAAACTCTAAAATAAGCACATTTGAAGGGCAGGAAATTTTCTATCACAATATAACACACGTGTTCCGTAATTATTTTATTTAAGTGATCTTAACATATACAGGAATGAAGTTGATGATATACTACTGATGAAGATTTTCTATCGCAATGTAACACAGGTGTCCCACAATTATTTTATTTAACTAATCTTAAATAAAAACATATACTGTCAGTGAAGTTACATTTCTTCCAGGAAATAACCATGTGATGAAAAAAAGAGAAAAGAGTCATGTGATGACTTTGCATCTGTTTCTTATTACCTGCCTTCTGCCTCATGCCCTAAAGGTACAGATTTCCTAAACATACGAGTCATAAAGCATTTTACCAAATTAGGATAAGTTCACATCTTTTTTAAAAAAAACCCATCTTTATTTTTATAGTTTTATTTTTATGCTGTATTCTTATAATTTTAATGTTGTGATTTTTAAGTATTTCAGTAAATTTAAAGGAGGGAATAATTTGAAAAGATACTACTTTTAAAAATACAAGAGTTATTTTCTAGTTGTACTGTAAAGAGTTATTTTAATCTCTCCCAATGTAATTCTTCAACTTGATGATGTGATACATAAATTATTCATAAAGAAATGTATTTTAATCACTTTTTATCAGCATTGATATTTTTAGATTAGATCCCCAGGACATTACAGGTAAAACATAATTTAAGCACAAATCCTATTACTAAGATTTGCTTTAAGATCATTGACATTTTGTGATTACTATCTTACCATATTACTATACTGAATTTAATGGAAACTTTTAGAATTAATATTTAAGATGCTATTTGAGGCAATTAATTTAAATCAATGGTTATACAGACTAAAGCAACTCTCTTACCCTGTTCATTCCAACCTATGAAATGGAACTCAGTTCATGCAAAAACTGTGGTGTGATAAGACAGTGAACTTATATTTGGAAGAATAGTTCAGTATTTGCTATATTGTTATTATTACTATGCTTGCAGCTCCAACAAATGGAAAACTGTAACTCACCTGGCCTGCAGAACAAGTACATGTACACCCCTTGTACTTGAGAAGGGGGATGGTGTTGAGGTTGGTATGGTCCCTGTAACTCCCTCCTGTGTGGCCTCTTCTCTGAGTTGTTTCCTTCTCAGGTCTGCTTCCTCACTGGGAGATGCTGTACCAGTCCTGGGTCACAAGAGCACATAATATGGAGAAGGACAGCATGTCTCTTCTGGCACTTTCTCCTCACACCAAAGGGATTTCTTACCAAGCAGCCCAAGTCCCATTGACTCACACTGGCCACCAGGCTCATTTCTGAATGAGT